AGAGAAGGGGGGGAACGGTAGCCCAGATGGAGTCGGCTTTATTGTCTCCAAAGCCATCTGAAGATGAGTTTGTGCCTTTTTTTTTTAATTGATGGATTTGGTGCAGCTGGATTTTCTGAAGTTTGAGGAACAATGCCTTAAGTAAAAAAAAAAAACAAAAAAAAACAAAAAAAAACCAAACAAAAAAACACACAAAAAAAACCCCCAACAAAACACAAAACAAGAAAAAACAAAACAAAACAGAAAAACCACAAAGAACACAGCAGTTCATGAATATTTTTCCTCTGGTTGGGAAAGCCAAAAACTGCCATCAGGAAGGAAGACTTTTTGGCTTGTGCTGGCATGATGGTGGGAAGCAGGCATCAGCTGAACAGAGCGTCTCCAAAAACTGTCTACAAGTTTGGATTTGTTTTGTTTTCTTTCATTGCTGTTTAAAAAAAAAAAAAAAAAAAGGAAAAAAAAATTAAGGTAGTTGCCAAGAAAGTGGCAAATACTGTTGGGTCTTTACTGTTGGGTCTTTGAAATTCAACCATTTTTAAAAACAAATTTGCAAATGTTTTCTCTCTTCTACATTATCTAGTAATTGAACTTATCAATTTGGTTGTTGAAGCATGTATTAGACACAAATGCAGGTTTAAGATTGGAATGCTTTTTATTAAAAGCAACTAGCATGAGATATTGCTTAAATTGTTAGGTATAAATATATATATATGTGCATAATGTATATTCCAAATGTATTCCAAGCTTAGAAACCAGATTCCTATGAATTACTGATAAAAATATTTATTATGCATTTATAGAAAAATATATGTAATAAATGCATACTATAACAGTAGCCATTGGAAGCTCCCTAGGGACAGATTTGTGAATTGAAATGTAAAAGGTGCTTTTGGAAAAAGATCCAGGTTGAAACTCGAGGACTTTCAGATGACAAGTTGGAAAGTTTTTCAGAAAGCCAACACATTAGCCACTGGGCAACTACCCTAAACATTTGTATTTTAATTTAAGGTTTTTAGTTGTGATCCTTTTCTAACAAAAAAAGAAAAAAAAAAGTTTTTTATAGCAAAGACTATGAATTTGCTGTTAATTTTTATATCGATATTTCACAAAACCCTAAAGAAGCCTTGTTTGTGTGACTCTGACATTTATTTTCTATTTGGCAGGTTTTGTTTCTGAATGGCAATAGCGTCTAAACCTTTTTTCCTCCCACTTTTCTTGCTTGTACGTTATTTTCCTTTTTTTTTCTTTTTTCTTTTTTCTTTTTTCTTAAGTCTTTTGTACAGTGAGCAGCTTTCTGCAGGCATAAGGAACTGTGGCAGATTGTCAGAGTTTATTTTTCAGAAAGGGTGCGTTTTATCGAGGAGGAGGGAATGTGATGGGCTCTTTTGTATAATGATACCACCGACTGTATATTTCCTCAGTTCTGTTATAGTAGCTATGTAAAGAAAATAAGGAGTTTTCTTACCTTTAACATAGTAGTATTCCAATGGGCGATGTCTTTGTCCTCCGCGCGGATCGTAGCGAGGATTACAGGCGGCTGCAGTAGCTGCCCACCACTGGGAAGGCTTGTTGGACACTCGTGGGACAGCTGGCATTTTTCTCTCCGCCGGACAGATGGACACGCAGACACGCACGCACACCTCCCCATGTCCTCTTTCTCTCTCTCTCTCTTTCTTTCCTCCTCTTCTTCCTGTCGCTGGTAGGGTTGGAGAGCTTTTCCTGAAGGTATTTTTTCCCCCCGAGGAGGTCATCGCCCTGCACCAGCTGGACCTTCAGCCTCGGCTGTTGCCTCCTGCAGACAGCGGGTGGGAGAAGCAGCAAAACCCTGCCACGAAGAGTTTGAGCAGCTTAGAGGAGACCAGATTGACACACGTGCCTTCTTACAGCAGTGTAGGATAGCACACACCCCTCGTCTGAACAACCAAGGGTAGCTTTTTTTTTATTACTATTATTTTATTCTGTTACGATGATGACTGACAGGGTCGCTTCCAGTAACTTATGGTTTTCCAGTTCTTGAAGCGGCCATTTTCATTCCATTCAGGACTCTCTCCCAGGAGGAATTTGAAGCATAATCATACATGTGAGCAAATGCAAGAGGCTTTTGTTTTATTCCGCAGTTTATAATGCAATTTAAAAAGCAGACACTACTGTATTTGAGTTTTGCAAACCCAAGTACGTGTTAAAATTACAAATAGCTTTGGTCACGTAGGACCATCCTCAGCATTTTCTAAAAATAATCTTCCCCTGTGAAAACACAACATACCTGGAGATGTTGTGGTTCGGTTTTTTTTCAACTGACCACTGTGCTGCTGTGATCTAAAATTAATCTGGCTGCCAAATCTGGTGACTGACTTTTTAAATTTTCCTTTTGCCGTGTACACGCTGTGGGTAGTAACCACGTTTACACGATTGTTTCTGTTGTCAGCTCTTCCCTGGCAGGTTTTTGTATTTCTCCTCTCGGTTGTGGCAAAGCTTTTTAGTTCATTTTTGTGTTCCTGAGAGCTGCTGGCTGGCCGTGCTGAGCCGGTTTCTTTTTAAAAATCAGAGGAGCTTGTCAGGATGCCACCTTCATTTCTTTCCATCATTTTGCTCAGCTTTTTGCCAGGGATGGAAAGATTTTTCCTGAGACGTCAGAGCTCGTCTCGTCCAAACTCCCAGCAACGTGCATTTGTTTCGCAGCGGCGCCCACTCCCTGGGTGAGGTTGGGACGCTCTGCGGGGCTGGTGCAGGCGTGGAGAGGAGGGGAAAGAGCCCTTGTTTTGTGGCTCGCTGGGTTTTTTTCACCTTTTGAGCCGTTAGATTCTTCATTTCGGATGACTTTGCCATAGGGCAGCTGCAACGGCGGGGCAGGAGCCCAGGATGCTCCTGCCATCCCAGTGCAGTGCTGCCCAGGGCATCCTTCATACCTGCTGGGAAAGAAAGGAGCATCTTTAAATCCTCTTTACAGAGAACTGAGGCCCAGTTTGCAGTACACAAATAATCATTGGGTTTTTTTGTTGGTTGGGTGGGGTTTTTTGGGGGTTTGGTTGGTGGTTTTTTTTTTTTTACTTTCGATACGAAACATTCCTTTTTTTATTAGTCGCAGTCATGTATTCATTCCATTCTTCCTTTTGTAAACTTTTTTGGGCCCACGTCTTTTATGGGCATTGATATATATAA